ACAGGAGGGTCTACATAACCCACACAAGGAACATTCCTAGAGCATCCAGGTGCCTTCTGTGGAACTTCTCATCCTTGTTTATCCTATCTTAACACAGGCTAAAAACTGGCTTTCAATTTCTAATGTAAAATTATTTTGTCATCTATGTTGTTATGCTGCCCCTTTTATTTGTATCTCTCTTGTCTACTTTTCTTTGATGAGGTGTGTCATAAAGTACTGTAAGTGTGTGTTTACTTTGTACATTTATTGAAGAGTAGAAAAAAGGTTGTTCTATTCTGTCCAGGTGTTCTGTAATTGTCTTTGATGTCTGTGCAACATCCTGTGTAAATTGTTTCTGATAAGTTTATATTGCAAATGTGTTTTGAAATAAATTTTACCAGGATCCATCACATCATTTTGCTATGGAAACACTAGGATGGATCTCTCAATATGGCATTCGTGATTTATTCCTTAAATTTTAGAGTAATGTTGAATATTATCTGGTTATGATTACAATTATTGTCCTGTGAGGAATGCAGAGTGAGACATTATCTCATTTTCCAGATGAGGAAAGTGAGACATGGACAGATATGATTAAATGAGATAGCACATGAGAAAGTACCTGTGACAGGGCCTGGTGTGCATGTACGTGTATGTGTACCTATACACATACAAAGACATACATGTACATACACATATAATTTTTCTTTGCAATGAGGGGCGGAGCAGTAATTTTTTCTCTTTAAAAGAATATATTTACTTATGATTACAAAGCAAATTAGTGGAAGATCTAAAATTAAAGCTTTTTGACTTCTAGTCATGTATGGTCTTTCTAGTAAGCTCTATTCAGATGGCACAGATGACATTTCCATATCTGGTTATTAGCTTTTCACATTTATGACAAACTAATGTGTGTTATAGTAGTTCCATTTTTAAAATAAAATCCAGAGATAATATAGGGATACTTCCTTAAGCTTTCTTTCTTTTATATATTTCTACTGTCATTACACCATTTGACTCTTCCCAAGATCTCTTTCTGGGAACAGGAAAAGCTGTGGGCCAAATTCTGGTTTAGGTTAAGTTTGCTTTGGCTTCCTTCCACTTTCTTTTCTGGTCCCTCTACTATTTCTTACTAGGGACCCAGAGTGTGAAATTGCCCCATCTCCTGCCTCCCACAACTGCGAGGAGGCACCCCACGGGGTGCCGGGCGGAGAGGTGCTCCATGCACCTCCTGGTGACAGGTCATTTGGTCGTGGCGCCTCTTGGCCTTTTATTATTATGTTGTGACAACTTGTGTTCCATAATAGTCAGTCAGTTCATGGGCAGCAACAGCAGGTAGAGCAATCAGATCTGGACAGTGAACTATGAATCAGAGACTAGGAATGCCACAGAAAAAAATGCCTTTGAGCAATTAGAAACTGGAAGAACTGTGAGATGAGCAATCTGAGAGCAAAAGGTTAACAATTCAGAGTTTGACAGGCAGGGAAGGAGCAGGACAGAGCAAGCCTAACAAGGAGTTTCTGGAACCAGCACCAGCAGCAGGGAAAATGCAAAGTGCTTTCCCTTTAGTCCCTCTTTATTCCTCTCACGATGGCAAATTCCAATCCAATGTGATCCTACCAGTAGAAGTACCTGAACAGTTGTCTGGCTGACTGCTCAAGATGGACTGGGGAGTGACCACAGTTATTTTGGAAGAAGGATTGGTTTTGTTTACTCTGGTTGTTGAAATGGATGCAATAACATTAATTCACACCAAAAGGGAGAAACTGATCATTAACGTATTACAGCTCTTAAACATAGTCTGTTTTGAGGAGCGAACCAAAGCAGCCCTTCTCCAAGTATGGAATGCCCACTCCGCATTGAGCTGAAACGGGACTCGGTGGCCATGCACTCTGGGAAATGCTGCCTGACCCTCCTATTAGAAACAGTAACATATCAAAAGACCCGAGATGTCTTACAGTAAGTACATGAGCTCATTTGATTTGATTTGATTTACTTTTATGGTTAGTGCTTTAGTGTCCTGCTCAAGAAATCTTTACATACCTCAAGATTACAAAGATATTTTCCTTCATGTTTTTTTTAACTTTCTGGTCCTGAGTTTTATGTTTAGTGTCTACTTCATGTTGTGAACTAAGTGAGAAAGACGTATGTTTTTTTCCATAAGAAAATCCATTTTTTCCAGCAATATGTTTTAAAAGACTATTCTTTTCCCATTGAATTGACTCAGCACCTTGAACAAGAATCAATCAACCTGCCTGGCAGGTATGGTTCAGTGGTTGAGCATCGACCTATGAACCAGGAGGTCACGGTTTGATTCCTAGTTAGGGCACATGCCTGGGTTGCGGGCTAGATGCCCAGTGAATCAGCCAATCAATGATTCTCTCTCATCATTGATGTTTCTATCTTTCTCTCCCTCTCCTTCTCCCTACCTTTCTAAAATCAATAAAAATATATTTTTTTAAAGAAGGAACCAAACAACCTTTGTATGTGTGAGTTGATTTCTGAATGAACTATTCTCTTCCATTGATGTTTGTCTATCCTTAGGGCAACATTTGATAATTGTAGCTTTACAGACAAGTCTTGAAATCACATTTTATAAATCACCCACCCTGTTGCTCCTTTTCAAGATTGTTTTAGTTATTCTATGTCAGTTGCATTTCCAGATAAGTTCTAGAATCACTTGGCAGTTTCTTCAAAAGTCCCATTGGAATTTTGATAGGATTGCATTGGATATATAGATTAATTTAGGGAGAATTGGAATCTTAACAATTTGGAATTTAATAATCCATGATCATGGTATATACATTGTACTTTTTATTTTGCTCAAAGAAATTCTTGCCGTCATAGAACTTATGTTCTAGTGAGAAAAACTGTATAAAATAAATAATGCCAGGTAGCTATTTTTCTTTTTTTTAAAAAAAGTATATCTGGGTAAATTAAAAAAGGAGAAATTCTGTAGAAGTGGGGTAGTGTTGTCTCCCAGGAAGAGGCATTTGAGTGGCAATTTAAATGAAAGGAAGGAAGAAACAAGAGCTTTCCAAGCAGCCAAGGACTTGAGGCAGAAACAAGCTTGATGTCTTCTAGAAAGAGCAAAAACACCTATGTACCTGCAGCAAACTGCGTGAGGAGAACAATGCTAGGCAATGATGGTAAGTATATGGTCAGAAGGTAGACCATGTGGGCTTTGTAGGGCATGAGCAACTATTGGAGATTTAAGGAAAAAAAAAACATCTGTAAGGGTCTTGGTTAAGATTCATCCAGTAATAAAAAAAAATATTAAAAAAAGATTCAGCCAATACACACCTATATGCCCATCCAGGTTGTTAAAACAATGAAATATTTCGAATCCTTAGGAAATAGCCGCTTCCATAGCAGCAGTCGCACCTGCCATGCTGGCTCCTTTCCCAGGAACCCCCTAGTGTCCTGCCCATGAACCAACAGATAAATAAGTAACCTAGCCCTGCTGGTTCAGCTCAGTGGATAGAGCATCGGCCTCTGGCCTGAAGGGTCCCAGGTTCGATTCCAGTCAAGGGCACATGCCCAGGTTGCAGGCTCAGTCCCCAGTGTGGGGCGTACAGGAGGCAGCCAATCAATGATTCTATCATCATTCTCTCTCATCATTGATGTTTCTCTCTCTCTCCCTCTCCCTTTCTCTCTGAAATCAATAAAAATATATATGTTTTAAAAAAATAAGTAACCTAGCCCAGCAGAGGCTATTGAGTTTGGGAATTTAACCAGCTCAGGAACCTAAAACCATTGAAATTCATCAATCTAAAGGATGAGTAAAGGTTTCACGTCATTACAGTCCTAGAGCCTGCTTAGGACAGTGTGTCTTGAGCTTCCATTCCATCAAGGGTCTATTGGGGCCCCATGCCATTGTCTGGGCTCCTGCTCAGTCCAGCAGGA